CCTTTCGCGCCCAGAAGAAAATGACCTCTTGTTTTCCAGCATTTGACCAAATCTCACAATCGAGGGACCATTTCTTGAATCCTCAGTACTTTGCAGGTTGATATCAGAGAGGATGTAAAGAGTCAGCCAGGTATCTGTCTGATAGCTCTCAATCGGAGTCCTGGTAGCACACAGGTGAAGAGCTTGGCTGCTGACCAGCAGGTCATGGGTTTGAACCTACCAGCAGCTCCTCGGGAGAGCGCTGGGGCAATCTGCTCCCATAAAGATAACATCCTCGGGAGCCTTGCCCTGAGTTGGAAGCAAGTCAATGGCAATGAATTTGGTTTGTTTTTTTTTTTTTACTTCCTAATAGCACGAATTCTCTCATTTGAGTATGTCTGCGTTGGGACACATAAAAACAATTAACAGCCCCAAACCAAACCCACTGTCCTTGAGTCTACGCTAACTCTTAGTGGCCCTGTGGGACAAAGTAGACCACCCCTGTGGGTTCCCGAGCCTGTAGCTCGTGACGGGAGTAGAAAGCCTTGTCTATCTCCCGAGGCCTGCCTGTTAGCAGCGGCTGACCTTGCAGTTGGCAGCCCAGTGTATAACCTCGCTGCCACCAGGGCTCCTCAGTAGCAAACAAGAGAGACAATTGTTCCCTGAGAGAGTCAGACAGACAAAACCACTAATGTAGAAAACACAGATAGTAAAGCATTTAAGAAAAACAGAAAGAAAGGGATTTGAAAATCTCATTTGTAGAGGCTCAGGCAAGCTCTCTGATCTGCGTGCATCTGTGTCTCGTGGAGGATTGTGACAGTCCACAGCAGACACTGGTTGGCTCACTGATCGTGCAATAAGTACTGGTGGGGTCAACTGGGAGCCAGGTGCCACTGCACCCCGGAGCCTGTCTCTGCTGCATGGGGTGGCCCTTTCAGTGGGTAGGTGGATTCGCAAAGTGAAGATTTCAGCAGGGTGTGTGTGAAGGGCAGTGTTAAGTGGTGTCCTGGGCATGTGATGGCTACTTGCTCTTTCACTTAATATTAAGAAAACGTTCATGTACAAACAGGAGTTGGAAGCCCGGTGTAATATATATTTATATACATAGCTACTAGTATGTTCACATTTTGCTCTGCTTATTTGTTCTTTCACTATATATGTAAGCACGCACGTGGTTTGTTTGTTTTTAACAGTTTTATTGGCGGAATTCAGTGGTTTAATCATATTAAAAGAGTGGTGAAATCACCACCACAGTCAACTTTAGGACATTTGATTCTTTCGTGTACTCATTTGTTATTATTAATAGCTTCCCATCTCCCCCCAACCTCCCTTGCCATGCCTCTGAAGACACTATTAATCCAATTACCATCTCTAGATTTACTTACCTTGAATTTGATATACAGAAAAACATACATACAAACAAAAACAAGAAATCCAACAACAGTGGCAAAATAAAACAGAGAAAAACAACATCAGTCAAAAAGGAAGCAGAAAACATGAACAACCAAAACAGATGTGAAAGGGGCGGAAAGGGAGAACAGATGGGTAAGGTGTTAAATGTTAACCCAGCTACACCTGCGTCCATTCGCGGTCCAGTGCAGTCTGATTAATAGCAAAACCATTCACATCCCTGGTCAGTAGTCAGTCACGGAGGGGGCTGGGTTCACCGGAATCTTGAGCCACAACTCATGTATTTTTGATGGATTTTCCATTTATCAGTGCAGTCCTTTGCATCTCCAGAGAAGACGGGCATTCTTAATAACTGTCATGCTATGATCCTACCTGAGAAAGCTGACAGTGACTTGACCACCGGATCTGATGTACGGTCCAGATCCCACAATGCTTTCCGCAGACCATTTGTTTTTCTTCCCAGCTCAGGATCCATTTAAAGGCCCCCATCGCCTTTGCTTGTTACGCTCAAAGGTGGTGATGTCTGGATTTGGTGTTCAGCACCGTCCATCGGCTCTGACTGATGGAGACCCCGTGTACCACAGAACGAGCAGCCAGGCCACTGCAAACTGGACCGTGAACTGCAGCAGAGCATTGGCTCGATTTAGCCCTTTTTAATGGACGAGGATCCCTCTTTCCCTCTGCTCTTTCTGCCCCCCTTTTTCCTTAGTTTATTTCTCTGGTTGGCAGACTTTCTTTACTAGTTAAGTCAAACTTTTATTGGGTTACAAGAAGTCTTCAGGGGATCTGTTTGGTGTTAGGATTAAAGCTGATCTCGGTCCATGTTTCAGGGGCTCCCCCAGCCTCCCGGGCTCCACACTGCCCTTCTTTAATGTCATGGCCTTGTTGAAGGCTCCCCGCCAGTTGCGTGTAGAAGGTATTACTTTGGGATTCTTTATTCGATATCCATCACTTGGTGATAGGCCCTTGGGGTGTTTCCACTCAAGAGTAGAAGCCCGTGTTGGAAGGGGCAGTGCCCAGAGCCTGTATTCTTTGTCACACTCTGTCCTCCGCCCTGCGGGGTGAGGGCATCATTGTCCCTGAGGCGCCGTGAGTGGTGAGTCTGGGGCCAGACAGGGCCTTCGGACACTAGGACACTACCCCACGGTCTGGCCATTGGCTGCGCTCTCCTGCATCCCCGCTGTGTTTGTCTTGGTCACAGGTGGTCAAGAGGCCCCGGAAGGTGCAGCTGGCCCCGCTGCGGGGCAGCCCCGCGGTGGAGCACGGCGACAGGGCTTTCGAGGCGATGGATGAGTTGGATGGCCGGAGCACCCGCAGTGGCTACAGCGAACGGAGCTGGCGAAGCCACCACGGCGAGCGAGGCTACCCCTGGGACGACAGCCCCAGCCGGGGACGCCCCCACGACCGCGCGCAGAGCCGGGAGCGGCTGCACAGCGGGGACCGCAGCCGCGGCCGGAGTCTGGAGCGCAGCCTGGACCAGGACCACGGGCGAGCCCGGGACCGGGGCCGCGCGCACAGCCTGGGCCGCAGCATCGACCGGGACGAGACCTATGAGCGCGACTACGACCGGTCCTACAGCCCCGCCGCCTACAGCCGCCGGGACCACCCCGATGCCCGCTACCAAGAAGCATCCCGCAGCCGCGAGCGCCTCCACTCCCGCAGCCCCAGCCCCGAGCTCAGCAGGGGGAGGCCAGAGCATGCTGACCCCGCGGACGCGGAGCGGCCCATCGGGGTCCTGCTGACCAAGAGCAAAGCAAATGAAGGTAATTCCGCCGAGCCGCGGCAGTCTGTGTGTGTGTGTGTGTGTGTGTGTGTGTGTGTGTACTGCACACAGTATTGGAAGGATGTCAGCAAATTCTTGCATAGCGCTTATTGCACGTCCAACACGGACCTACATGCGCTAATCCAGTCCATCCTTGTGGTCACCGTAGAAGGGAGCTCCTCTTACACCTCCATTCTGTAGACAGGGAAACCTAGGTAGAGACACGGTTCATTGGCCTGCATCAAGTTGTGTGTCAGCGGCGGCGGCAGAGGTTTATTTTCATTCCATCGGCAGGAAGTCAGTAAGCAGGGATACGCCAGGTTCGGTTCCAGTGGCTGGCCTTGGGATTGAGTGGTTGTTACTGTTGATTGTGTTCGGTACAGGCTTACAGAGCAGGCGACTTGTGCCTTCAGTGGTCAATGGACAGACAGGTCTGTTTCCTCTCATTCACTACACTGTGGTCGCCTGCCCCACTCCCTTCCTGTGTTTTCTGGTTCCACCCCTTCTTTCTCTAGCCTTCTGAACTTTGTCCCCAGGCAAATGCTGTTACCTTGATGCCAGTTGACTCTGAGGCATGCCCACCTCAGGCATGTGATTGTCCCCTGAGAGACCTGTCTTTTGTTTCGATGAAAACGGATCCACGGGGTGAGTCTAGTTCCAGATCGGAA